TGAAAGCTCTATGAAGCGGTATATAAGTCTAACTGCTATTGCTATTGCTAATGACTGCTCTGTTGTCATATGGAGAGATGATCCTCTTTCCCCAGTTATAACCTTTCCATGATAATGACATGAAGAAGCAGTTTCCTAGCACAGAAGGTGGCCAGATGTTCCTCTTTTGAGATCACTCTTGAAAGGTGGAGATGAAAGAAACTGTTTAACGCAAGGGCAGGGACTTTGGTTTAACACTGATTAATTGGGACGGTCAGACCCGAAGAGTAATGATAGGAGACAAATTGCCCAACCAGGTGATGCTAGAGACCCCGTAGGTGATGTCTAGATCTTTCCATAGGTTTCTTGGTTCTTCCTGTTTTCAGGTATCCCAACACTGTTTCTTCCTTCCTGCCACTGTCCTCTGATGCAAGGGACCACCTGCATTTACCTACCATCTTCCCAATCATCATGACGTAGGGTCCCAGGTATTTGTTCACACCAAAGATGTCCAGGACGCGGATGTACCAGAAAATGATGTCCACGCAATAGATCACTCTTCCGTAACTCATGTAAGGCGGGTTTTGCAAGCGGAGGACAGCTCCGATCAGAAACACAGAGATGGCCACCAAGTCCGTGATGTTCCAATATTCCTGCAGCCACACTTTGATTTTCTGGCTTAGCTTCCCTGGTTCTGACATCAAAATCTGAAAATAAAGCAATTCAGGCGTGGGTGGAGGAGAGAAGATGAAACTGGAGAGGGTGGGGGGTGAGGAAGAGGAGCAGGATTTCAGTTTTGTGCTTCCGTGTATAACGAGCAGCAAGTCTCAAGGTGGGATGATCTCAAAGTCAGTCAGTTTCCTTCTCCTTGCTCCTTTGCTCCTTCCAAAGTGTGTCCTGGACTTTAGGCCCTAATTTCCTGATATACCAGTTCATGATAGAAAGATGCCCAAACATGAAGATGTTGCTTCCTCATGCGTGAACTTCCTTATTTCAGGCATCTGTCCAGGTTCAAGATTTTAGAGGGCCCAACACAGTGCTAGCTTTACTCACCTCCCTGACCTTCTCTAAAGCCAGAGTCAAGATGTAGGAGATGACAACCCATTCTTGGATTGAGGGCCACCGTTCCATCCGGACCAGGATGATGTAATTGAACAGCATTAAGTAGCCCAGGTAGCATATCTGAGGATGAGATCATGGAACTTATATCTTTTCTGCTCTGTCAGACGGCCATAATAACACTTCCTCCAAGAACCACAGAAGTTAGATTCAAAAGAGACCCCAGAGGACATCTAGCATAATCCCATGCTCGAAACAAGTCTCTGGTCCAGTAGACAGTGACTGGACTGCCCCCTTTGTTAGGAGGCTTTCTTCTCCAAATTACAGTCCAGGACGTCCATCACCAAGAGTTAGAAAAGTATCAGAGGCTCCTCAAGGACCACTAAGTCCAACCATGTGTGCCCCAACAGGTTCTTCTAGAAAGCTGATGAAGCAGATCAGGACCAGCCTCATTAAAGAGAGAGTGGAGAACCTCACATCCCAATGAGAACTTCCTTGAACCCACCACTACACTGGCAAAAGGGATACTAACCGTGTTGTTTTCAGTTGAGGATGGATAACCAATTCCGTTGTACACATGACATACAAAGACAATAAAGGCTGTACTGTATATTTCTACTTACTGTATAAAACCAGAACTTCACAATTGGTGTGTTATAGAATTCGTAGATCTTGGTTCCAATGGGAAGGCCCTTCTGCTTAGTCTTCCCGCCCTCTTCATCTCCTTTTCGTGATCCAGCATCGGCATTGGCATCCTGGAAGACAGACACAACCAGGCAACTGATCACCCCCAAATATCACCCAAATTCTCGACAAAGAGGGGGGGGGGGCAACAGTTCTCATTGCTAAGTGGCTTTCTTGCTTCTCAAACAGGCTCCCACCAAGCCCCAGAAGACTTCTCTTTTATGGGACATAGTTCTAATTTCTTGGATGGATTTTCACCTCCGGTTCACCAAGCCGAGGACTGGAAATTTTTTGCAAAAACCTGTTGGTTCAAAAGTACGTAAAAATGGATGGAAGAATGAATGTATCCACGATGAGTCCCTCTAAAGAAAGGAATACATGGAGTCCTTGAGTTGAACTTTACTCTACACTAGGAAAGAGCAACACTGACCGCATTCTCTTCCTCCTTTTCCTTCCCAACTTCTTTTTCACCGGATGTTTGATACTCGTCATTGGTCCGGAATTCCAGGAGGAGGATGGTGGGAGGGAGGAGGATCCCCATGATGACCTGAGTGGGGGAAAAGAGGGCAGGAAGTCATCAAATAGTCATTAAAACTTAGGGGATCCTAGAGGCTGATTTTCCCTGGCTAGATATTCTCCAGCTGCATTGGTCTTGTGATTCGCATCATCCCTTCATGTTCAAGGGAACAAAATACAGGAAATAGCAATAGCTATAGCAGTTAGACTTATCTACCGCTTCATAGGGCTTTCAGCCCTCTCTAAGC